TCTCTTTTCATTTTGTTGCTAAATGTTACAGGTGGTAGCTTTAACTGACCAAGTTAGTTACTCTTGCCAACTGATCTGGTCAGAGAAAGTAGCTAATCCTTCAGGAGATAAGCTGCTCCATTTGGGTAGTAAAATAGGATTTCACAGATGGCTGTGAAAACTGGAACTGCAGAAAAATGAAAAGAGATATTTTGGAATCGAGTACTTGAGTACTAAGAACCAGGACACAAGTGAGCAATTTTAGTGCCTCTGTTTGAGAAGCTTTTTACATTACAGAACAGAAGTAAAAGTGAACGGATGAGGCTCTGGAAAACCAAGTCCTCTAATGTCTAAAAGTACAAATCTCCCACTGTCTCTTTTGCAGTCCGAGGAATTAGGGAGCATCCATTTTGAGCCTCTTGCTCTACCTCCTATGCAGCTGTGGGCCATATTGTGTCTTATGTTACTGTTCCCTCGCTTTGCCCAGGGTCATTCCCACACACCATTACTCTTTCTGATTCAAAGGACAGTGTGAAATTCATGTGCTCTGTCTGGAAATATATCTACCATTAATATAAGTTTTCTCATTTAGAATTTTCAAAACCAAAGTTAGTACGATGTAATAAAAACTAGAAATGCTATCACCCCTTCCTATTGGATCTTATCTTGGGTGTCAGCAGAACAAAGTGTGTGAAAGAAGATCTGGCACCAAAACCACAAAGATTACTGACTTTATGTTAGCAAAATCCACATAACTGGTGAGCTTCATTTACTGTAGCTGTTATTGCTCCTAAATCTATTGCGCCAAATATGATAGGAAAAACTTATCAAACATTGTTACCAATGCATTAAAATGTGTCTGACTCTAGGAGGCAGTGTTCACCTCTGATTTACAGCTGAAGAGCTTCTGTGGCAAGGTGGATGGCATGACTATATGCAGATAGAAGACAAATAAATAGCAAGTATTTAAGGATGCAGTTGAGACTCTTGCATAGTAGATGTCAGGATTGCTACACATATGAAGATTGTTTAAAAAGACACTATTATTTAAAAATCTGAATGTTTAAAATTTCTGTCTTTTAATGGCGTATAACATGCCCTGCCAGGATAACAAATGGTTTAACAAATCTCAGAGGAACTCCAAACAATTTATTTAATATCCATATATTTATTACCCATTTTATTTTACTCATGCTCATTATGCATGAAGCATTCACTATCTCATACAGTGTCACCATATAAACTTGCTTATTCCATTTNAAGAAACCAGTGATTATCAAAGGATGACTGGAAAGATGGAAGAAGACTCATTATTTATTTTCCTCCCTGGTGATGCTGCTCAAGAGTTGAGGAGAAATCATAAACCCTGGTGGGCAGTGCTTACATTGCTATATTGAATGCTATTTCTGCTGACTGCTTGCAATTTGGCAGTTCAAATTTCACCAGGATCAAGACTGACTCAGCCTTCCATCCTTCCAGGGTCGGTAAAATGAGGAACCAGATTATTGGGGGCAAGAGGTTGACCCTGTAAACTGCTTGGAGAGGGCTGTAAAGCATTGTGAAGTGATATAGAAGTCTTAGTGCTATGGCTACTGCTACAAGAAAGGGAACAAGGCTATGCCAAAATGGCTTTTACATATATTATCAGGGAATTGGGCAATAGGTGTCATGCTAAAAAGATATATTTTACATCTAGGAATCCCAAAAACTAGATATTCAGGCAAACAGGAACCTCATGAGGTAAATCACAGAGCACACAGATCTGAGGGCGATCTGACTGTGACATCTGTCACCCCATTGATCGCCAGGGTTGATTCAGCAGATCTGGCTGGCTAGGCGGGTGTCCCCTTCCTTCCTCACCGCTCCATGTGCGTCCCTTCCGAAGCTGTGCGCTCGGTGGAAGAGGATGACCATCCCAGATAGAAGGAGTGTACTGATCTTTGGTCAAGGGTATACGACAGCTGCGCTCCCCTGCTACAACCTCCAAACAAGCTCAAGATATTCAGGCAAACAGGAGCCTCATGAGGTAAATCACAGAGCACACAAGGCACACAGAAGAAAAAGGCGGGAAAAAGAGAAACTTTCCCTCCCCCTTCACACCATAGCAACCAATCACATTCCAATTTGCCTCATGAAAGAGCAATCAGCTTTAACTGTGTGCTGTGGCTCACTACGCCATCCCCACAGCTCCAGTTACTAAATTTTAATGTCTTAACAAAAGCAAACAAAGATACAATTCTGAATAGGAGACTAATCTCTGTAGCATCAAACAAGCCATGCGGCCTTCAGAGGAAAAAACGTTCCCATCCCTGCAGGAAGTTCAAGGATTGCCAGTCAGCTGCTATTGAGAAGAGCAAGTATATCATAGCAACTAAGGTGTTGAGTTGATGTGCGGATAGCC